TATAATAATAATTTAATTATTTACACACACACACACATATATATATATATATATATATATATATATATACTTATATAATTATTATATTTTGTCTTCTGAAGCCAAAATGTATATTGTTCTTCAAGTGCAACTATCAAATCTAAGTATTTTGTGTAATGAAGATGCGTCATAAGAATAACATTTGAGAGCTACATAAGAATGGAAAAGAGCAGCCAGGAAAAATATCATATATTTGCTTGCATGGAAGAAAGACAGTCATACGGGTTTGAAATAACATGTGGGTGAGTAAATGATGAGAGAATTTTTATTTAGAGTGAGCTATGCCTTCAAAGACCACTGACTCCTTTCACTGCCTGTTAAATACTGTCAGACATAGCTTGAGGCTATCACACACTTCCACCTTTTCCCTGTCACCACCTCTATTTCTCCCTTATTTTCTCCCTCCTCTCATCCCCGATGCAGGAAAACATGATCAACTTTTATTTTTCCATGGTTTGTTTTTGCTGGTAAACCTTGACCCTTGTGCTCCATGCTACGTGCACTTTCACAGAGCAGGCTGCTGTCTTTCTGGGACGGGGCAGCCGTTGCACAATCTGCAGACTATTAGATAAGGCCAGAGGATATCCTCTTCTTTACAAGCCCAGGAGAGAGAGAGTGGAGGTGGGAAATCCATAACAGAGAGCACGAGAAAATGGAAAAGAATGTGAGAGACATTTGTTAAGAAGCTAGTAAAAATGGTTAAACAGTTGTTTACTGCCTCTTGTGAGGCTTGTTTATGGGTGGCTGTCAAATGTCAAGCAGTGTATACTTCATCTTCAAGACTTTGAAAAGAGATTTTTCAGGTTATTATGCTTTATACACGTTTTTGATGATAAAATGAATAACTGAGAGATATGAAAGTTGATAGAAAGACATATGAAAGACAATAAAAATCAAATTTGACTTTTTTTTTTCTCACTAGCTGTATTCTGGTATGTAACGCACACTTTTCACTATCCAATCATCAACTTGCTCAGCCACTTAAACAACTTCTAGTCTCTGATGACATCACCAAGGCCATGCTTTGTATTAGATAATAAAAACAAATAGCAATTCAGCCAATTTTAGCTAACTTTCATTTTCTGGCTTCATTCTGATACGTAATGCACACTTTTCACTAATCGATTCTTGATGGATAAAATCAAGCACCGCCCCTTTTTCTCATTGAATATCATGTTTATTCCTGATTTCTTAATACACATTCCTTATCAGTGCACGTGATTCTGAAAAAAATTTTTTGTTGTAATTCGCAATCAGAATTAAGTAACTTGCTCCACCTCTTCAACAACTTTCCATCTCTGATGACATCACCAAGGCCAGTGGAAATTTGCACAAATGGCAATTTAGCCATTGTTTTTGCTAACTCTCATTCACGCTCCATTGGCTCCATTCTGGTCCGAAACACACTTTTCACAATCCAATCATATACTAATCGATTAAAAACAAGACCCGTCCCTTTTTTATCTTGTTGTATATTCATTTTTACTTATTTAAAGAAGCAAAAAGATCATTAAAATGTTGTAGGATAATGACCAAAGCACATAAAATATACTCAGTATCCTTTATACATTCACCCAAACTCTTGATGTTGAATAAAAAGTTTGTTTTTGTCAACTACCCAGATACAGTATAGGTTTGCATATCCTGAGGCCCAGTGTAGTTCCACACGGCGCTCTTGTTGCTGCACTGGAGGCTTGTTGAGGTCTCTGTGCTGCTGTGAAAGGCGAACCCTGGCCCCTCCCTACATGTGTGTGTGCGGCACTACAGTGGACACAGCTGGGAGTGATTATCCGTGTTGAGATATAGAAGCCCTGCCCCTTCCCTCGCCCCTGCCTCCCTATATGAGGCACTCATGGAAATGCCCTCAGTGAACTCCGGGTGCATATGCTCCCTATACTGGAATTCTAGTAACGAAGGTTCCTTCGCTCACCCGCTCTCTCCCTCCTCAGCTCCATTGCGTCATCCCTCCATTTTCCAAGTAATGGTTGCGCCTTGCTTCTGCTCGGTATTATTGTTGTTTCACAGTATGTACAGCTGTGTGGAAACGTTGACTTTTTGCCTTTGTTGCTCTCGACCCTGTAGCCCACTGTCCTCGTCGCTTTGTCATTTTTTAATCTACCTTGACTTCCTGCCACATGCCCTCTAACATACGTCTCCCCTCCTTCTGATCCCTCCCCTAACAAACTCTATCTCTCTTCTTCTCAATCTCAGGGGCATCTGTGCAGGAATGCTCTCTGGGTCTGCAGTCTTTTAGCTCATGTCAGCACTTTCTCTTGCAATGAGCCGTAGATATTACCCCTCCCTCTCTCTCTCTCTCTCTCTCTCTCTCTCTTTCTCTCCTTCTCTTCTCTCTCTCTGTTTTTATTATTTATTATTCCACCCGTCCACATGCTATACGTCTCCTCATCCAGCCAGTCAAGACTAAACTCATTTCTATTGTTGGTTTTATATCTCGCCAGCCACCGAGCAGTGCAGGAAGTCATTTAATAGCTACATCACTTCTTCTCGAGATTCGTCTTGTCACCCCCCTCTATACATACATATATTTTTTTATATATGAGAAAGAACCTGGACGAGCATTGCGACGTCTCATATATGAAACATTTGAGATTCTTATGTTTTGCATTTATTTACATAATATGAGTCGTATTGAGGTTGATCATTTGCCGAGTTCTTGTTGCCGTCATTGAGGATGGAATAAGTTTAAATAAAAACTAGCTTTTTTTTTTTTTTTTTTTGTCATTTATCAAGAACATTTGAAATGATTCAAAAATTAATATATACAAATATACACGTTATTTTTTATTTTATATATTACACTGGTAGTTTCAATTTCACTCTAAATAAATTTCTTTAGGCTTACCGTTTATTAAAAAAAAAATGTTGTTTATAATGAATAGTACAATAATTTGTTTTATACTTATATTTTTCATTCCTGTTCTGAATAGCATTAATTTTTTGTGGAGTGAGGACAACTGAAATACACGTTTAAAGTGTTTGTAAATATTTTGCTTTATTTACTAGTATTTTACATAATTTTTGATGTAATAATAAAATGTGTCCTATAAACTGATAAAAAATAATTAGTTTTTTCTTAACAATGCCATTTGAGAATGTATTTTTTGTTATTTATTTATTTGTGGGTTTTATCTTACAGTTTTCACTTTTGCAACTACCACATTGATGTTGCAATCTATTAACTTCTAATCTAGTGCATACTGTATGTACCACATCATAAGCTTATGTCTAACTTGTGATGATCTTGCCATATCATCAGTTTTCACACACTATATAAGATCAGGTCATTATGGGATATGCAGTACACACTGACTGCATGTTTTGATTCTGTGGTGTCGAATGGTAGTAAGTTTAGGGTCGCCTAGTTGTCTGTGGTTGATTCTGAGGCCGATATGGGCTCCTCAAGCAGAGCAGCTGCCTGCAGGGTGTGTGGCAGGTCCTGGGTCAGCCGTAGTCAGCACAATGAACACAGTAATTGCGGTCTGTCTTTCTGCTGGAAGAACCTGCCTCACAAAGAATGTGTTAGACCGAGATTCCACCACATATCATATGTAAACTCATATATAATCGTGCTTCCTATGCAGCTGCTTGTTTATGTGTGTGTGCTGCACCGCAAAGTGCCTCTGCCCCACTGTACTGCAGACACTCATGGGACCAAATCCAGATGTGCTCTACCCTCAGTGTCACTCTAAACACTCCCTATTCCCTTCCCCACCGGGACTGTGTGTGTGTATCTGTGAGTGTGTTGTTGACATAAACGTTGTCTTTCCTCTGTATTTTGTCACGTTCATTGCGATAACAGTTTTTCTTCTCTTTCTTTTTGTCTCCTAGGGCACCTTGGCTTCCAGGACAGTTTCATCACATCAGGTGTCTTCACCGTCTCTGAGCTCGTGCGAGTCTCACAGAGTAAGAACTCTACAACTCTACAACATTGCATGAGATATTAAGACTTGTTTTCATACAATGTGTCTTTAATATGAGTGTAGTTTTAAAAGTCTGGGTCAATGACATGCCATTAATTTTTTTCAAAAATACATGGAGTTATTAAAAAGAATCACATGAATTCTTGTTTCTTTATGAACATATTTTTAAATTATGAATAACATTTTTTTTAAACATCATGCAGTGCACCCCCCCCCAAAAAATGTTTTTTAATAAAGTAATAATATTTAATTATTTAATAATATTTATCATTAAAATAAACATTTTACTTTTAAAAGACTTAACTATATTGTCAGTAATATAATGTCTTTGGCCCATATATATTAATGATACATTCTTTGAAAACAAGCCTTAATGCAGTGATGCTTCTCATATAAATGTATCATATTTCAAAGATTTAAAAAAAATATTTTAACTGAAAAACAAGTTTTAAAAAAGCTCCTGATAAGTCAGTTATAACTTCACTTTCAGCAGTAAAATCAATTGAGCCTTCATAATGAACCTAAAAACATGTCAAGTTAGGTAAGTTCATTAGATGTTGTGCAAGGGTCATGATCTTAAGCTTGGTATGATTTAGGGCCTGTTACACCCTAGTATGCGAATGCCAGCAACAGAATAAATCTACAAGGTCTCAAGCACCCTAGTTCAAGCACCTTAAATTCAGCCCAAAGGTAGGATGAGGCTAGTGATTAACCAGTGTGCTGGAGGAAAGCTTCTCTGGTTTCTCAGCACTGTTTTCAGAACAATGGGCTGAATCTACTATCCCTCCACTCATTAGAAATCGAAACACCAGTGAAATGCAGCAGTCAGCTGAAAGTGCTTCAGTGCAGTGCAGTTCAACAGTACTTGGACTCTCTAAAGTACAAACTACGTTTTTTTTGTGCAGTCTTTTTTAGACAGTGTCTTTTATAAGCTCAGATTGTGTTTTCCGTAAATAAGCTGTACTTTTATTGCGGATACGGCTTTTCAGATGTTAAATGTTTGGCGTTTAAATTCATTAATAAAGTGAGGATAGCGAGAAGGTGAGTATTTTCACAGCTTGAGGAAACAATCGAGTCATTCTCAGATTGATAGAGCGATTAAGGCAGAATGCAGAACAAGAAAAGTAGACTTTCCCCCGAGGAGGCAGGGAGCAAGAAGGGAGGATGGGATGGGAGTAAAAAACGTGACCTTTAAAAATTGCAGACGTTCACGGTGGAGAGTGACAGAGCGCAGCGCGATCCATACGTGCCTGTCGATACCCGCTAACAATAGCCGATCCAAAGCGCCTGTCAGCACTCACTGGAGCCTTCTGATCAAAGGTGCATTGATCACACACTTTCGTGACCTAATCCCGGGCGAAGGAGAGGAGAGGAGAAGAGGGTGTCATGAGGCCCAGGCATAGAGCCCACTGTGGTCTCACCTCGCAGTCTGTCTTCAAAAACCCTCGAAGTGCCTGCCAATGCAAAGACAGCATCTGGAGAGAACAAACAGTTGGGTGCCACCACATTCTGGCGCCGTGACAGCAGACGGGAGGAAGTGTACGGGTCAACGTGAGTCCAGCTTGAATGTGTGAGGTGGTGCAAAAGGATGTGATGGATGCGTAAAATGATGAAAGGCATCAGGAGAGAGAGGAAGATGAGATATTAGATATTAAAACTCAGCCAGTACTGTGCTGCATCAGAACTCCTGGTGTATGATGGTAACAAGATTAAGGAATATGCATAATTGATCCAGCTCTGCGGAGAGATCGGCTTTTATCCTAACATCTTTGACACACTGAGAAGAAAAGCAAATGCTGGGTGGCATCTGCTGGATGTTCAGTTCAAATCAAAGTGTTCTGCTCTCTTTTCCCCATCATTCTCTTTATTCTTCTCTCCTCTCCACAGTCCAGTGTCTCTTAGTCGGCAGGGGGTTGCCGATGTTGGTCTAAAGAGCATATTACTCTTGAGCCCCAAAGGAAGTTGAACAGGAAGAGGATTTTAGTGAAGTGCCATTTGAAGTCTACACTTTCTTCAAAAGTTGTCAACACAAACTTTGAATGATAGCTTGTTTCAAAGTTTTGAAAAAAAGTTTTAAATGCCTAGATAGATACATAGATAGATTTTACAGAATGCATCACCTTTGTTGAATATCGTTCAGTTCTGTAAATCCCCAATTCAAGTTTCTGTGGGACGTGGCCAATGCATTCAAATTCACACTCATAAATTGAAAGGGAGCCAGTTCTTCAATTCTGAATTTTGCAATAAACCACAACAGTAGTCCTCTAATTACCTCAGCGGGGCATCTTAAAAACTCCTTCACCTCGTCGTCCACTCTCTGAGGAACGGCGGGAGAGTTGACAGAGTGTCACCCTCCTGCGTCAGCCACTTTCCTTCCTTAATGGGCAATACCATCTAAGAAGTTCAGCAGTCAGCAAAGCCCACTGTTAGCATAAGTCCTCTAACAGGATTGCTCCTTATGGAGTGACTGTGAATTAAAGTGCTGTATGCATGCACACTCATGACTTTGGTAGCTTCTTGTGGAAGGCACCGAGATGATGCTGTTGATTAAACTGAAGATGGTAAGTGCACCAGATTGGAAGATGGGTAGAAGAGGGTAATCTGGCATACTGAAGTGGCGTATGAATTGCCCAGAGGAGTTCCAATGGGGCTTCTGTGTGGGAGCGTCTGGCAGATTTATTTAAGCGAACGGGGAAGGGGTTGAGTGCAGGCTCGTGCCTGTTCGGAAGATGAAAGGTCGTGATATTGAATGGACAATGGACTGCCTTAGCTCTTCCCTGACTATACACTATGACCTTGGCTTTGTGCACCCATTACACAATTCAGTGGCAGCCCAATCGAATCTGCTTCTGTCGATCAATATCCTATTAAAGCACCACACAAAAAAGGAGAGGAAGCGAGCAAGAGAGAGAAGGAGGGGCTGTCGGTAGTGGGGGAGAGCGAAATGAAAGTCTCCATAAAGTTAGCCGCTACAGCTACGTTTTTGTAAATGGAACTCCACATAATTGGCCAGTCGATACCAAGCTGGGGTAATTTCGGAGATTGGGTCCGCCTTTCCATATCCTCCTCCCTCCCCCTGCTCCTCCTTCATCAGCTATTCCCTTCTACCTTCTCGAGTCTTGCAGTGTTCGTTTTCCTAAACGTTCCCAGGGATAGCCACTATCACCTAGAGTTTGATTTTTCCTTACAGCTGGCCCCCGTATGAAGACGGACACTGTCACGCCACAGTTTGGCATGCCGTCAAGCTCAGGTGAGCAAGAGGACTTGTACGTGAGCCAGTTTTACTGTTGCTGCCGCCCACTCAGAGCCTCTCCAGAGGAGATTGCGAAGGCTACAGCAAAGACAGGAGAGGATACGGGATTAGGATGAGGTTATTGTTATTAGGCCGCCTGCATGAGCCTCGCAGAAACGTTGGCAAGCAGTAAGGCAGTGTGATCCAGGGGCAGGGACACCTGGAAATCCCTGGGTGAAGGCCGGTGCTGGCACGCACCATTTAGCCATATGACCGAACAGGGGGAGCGGATGAATTATGGAGTAGGAGAGGAGGCCGCTGTGGCAGAGACACTGCCGAGCAGCACCGGTGGGGATACGCCCACTAGTCTTGTCAGCACTGTGCCAAAACTGGGCCAAAGCTTGCCAGTGGGCAGTGCCATCTCCAGTGAAATGCACACATGGGGCTTGAATCTCGTCAACACTAGCTTGCCACAAAATGCCCTACATTTCCACTATAATAAAAATGGACAAGAATAAAAATGTTCATTGATATACTGTAAAAGTAGAGATGTGCCAATATGATGATTGTCAAAATTTCCTAGCCCTCATGTCATTCCAAACCTGTATGCCTTTGTATCTTTTGTAGAACACCAAAAAAGATACACTGAAGAAATGTCTCCCTTTTCGTCCAGGTACAGGTTTGGAATGACTTGAAGGTGAGGATATGATGAACGGATTGTGATTTTTGGGTGAACTATCCCTTTAAATCGGACCAGCAAAGTGTCAAACCAGCGACCTGCTGATTATCAGCCCTGTCCTTCACAGTGTTTTTACCAGGAGTAGTAATATGCTGAGTACAGGACTACATTCTCTTCTATTTCTTGACCTTCTTCAACTGGACGCTGACCTGTAGACTTCATCAGCGAGGTTCCTTCTGCCTTCTCTTCTCATTTGGTTTGATGGGAAACTACGCAGTGAAGGTGTAAGGTCTAGCCCCATGTGAACCCTCTTCTCCAGACTGAGAACTCTGGACCTATGCTGTAGGTCTGTATCCACACAGGAGCTGATCCAGCAGAAAACCCCACCGAAGACCTGTCAAAGCTCACCAACTTCAGATCAGTTCTAGATGAGATCCCATCACGCCACAGTCCTCTCACTCAATAAAGCGATGAGGAGTAAGGGGGGTGGGGGGAAGACGGGGTGAACAGACATCCAGGGTTTTGAAGTTGATTGCTGCTGACTTTGTTGTCAAATGCTTCAATTTGAAAATCCTGCCTGAACAAAAGCCAATTTTTTTTCCCCTCTTTTTCTCTTCCTCCTCCCCCTGCTCTTTTCAAATGAATAGCCTCCCCAGCTTTTGTAGATGCTTTAACGCGGCCAGTGTTTGGGTGGAGGGGAGGAGTATGTCTGTGTGTGTGTATGTTAAGAGGGATTGTCAACCCTTGAGACAAGAGACTACACCAAAAAAAACAAAACTCCACCACATCCAGCAGACTCGGTCACTTTGCTGTCCGTCAACAAACTTCCTGTAACTTGCCAGCCTTCAGTCTGAAACCTTTTTGAAATACTTTTACCTTGCTGTCTACAAAACTTACTACATGTTTAGAAGTTTAGGGATGGACGATACACCGGTACCATATCAGTTATCAGTCGATATTGGAGATATTTTAATTGTTTTGCATTATTGAATATAGAACGTTTTTGTAAATTTAATGTAGTTTTTGACAGTAATTTTACATTTAGATTTCCTTTGCCATCATCTAACAAAGTTAAAAATACACACATTAAATAATTTTTTTGCAACCTTTTTGTCTGGTTTAGCTAACTTGTTTGGACAATTTTTTGTCCCCGATGCACATCTAAGTAAACCCACTCGCTGCACTGCAATTCCTCTGCACTAAGTAAATAGAATAGATTGAAACATTTTGCTAATGTACTTTGCGCCCAGCAGCTTGAAAGGTAAAACAGTAAAGATCAGAGAGAGAGAGAACAGAAGGGGAAGGAGAGAAGAGAGAGAAAGATCAATGCTGGCCTGATAGCCACAGGCTTCATTTGGAATCCTCCAAGCGAAAGCACTTGATAAAGCCTTTAAGAGGTAGAGACTGCGGATTACCTTTATGATTGATTTCCATTTCAGTCAGACAGACTGCAGTGTGGTCATTTTTCTACCCAAACTGCAGCAGGGCTGGCCACTCTCGGCGTGAGGGTTCGTTTGTGTGGATGTGTGTGCGCGTCGAGGGCCGGCTGAGTTACTGCAGCCCGGTGCCCAGGTTAGCTCTCACACAAATTACTTCACATCCTACTATTAGCCATGCAAATGCAGCCGGCTTTACTGCTAGTCATAAATAACCCACACTGCCACTTCTATTAGAGCGAAGGACCGCCCACCCCCCCCTCCAAAAAAAAAGTTAACATAAAGAGATGACTCAGAAATTATAGCACTTCCTTTCTCACTTCCTATGTGTCCAACTTTTTGCTGTTGGCTAGTGCATTGGCTTTCTCTCCCTCCCTTGGTCCAACTTGCCCCTTTAGCCGTGTCCTCCATGAATATAAAGAGGCATCACGGCTTTATGTACTGTATGACAAAGGCGTTTGATAGAGCACTGCTCACCGATGACCTACAGAAAGGGGCACGGGGGGATTTGCAGCTTGAGGCGACTCGCTCAGGGAGGAAAGTTTTGTAACCAGCACAAGGGTTCAAGTAAGATAAGCAAATGTCAGTTGTTATTTTTTTCTTTTATTATAAAATTAAAAAGTTTGAATTGGCCACACCCAAAAGGAAGTTGAATTTGAATGACAGGAAGAGGAAGAATTGTACAGAAATTTAATTTATTAAATATGATGAAATAAATACAAATATATGAAAAAATATCTATCTATCTATCTTATCTATCTATCTATCTATCTATCTATTTATCTATCTATCTATATTGTTCGATCGATCTATCATTCTATCTTTCTGTCTGTCTATCTATCTAGCTGTCTGTCTGTCTATCTATCGTTCGATCGATCTATCATTCTATCTTTCTGTCTGTCTATCTATCTGTCTGTCTGTCTGTCTGTCTATCTATCGTTCGATCGATCTATCATTCTGTCTTTCTGTCTGTCTATCTATCTGTCTGTCTGTCTGTCTGTCTATCTATCATTCTATCTTTCTATTTATCATTATATTGTTCTATCTATTTTTTTAGCTGAACTAACATGAAAATGAGCTAAATCAGCAATGTTTATGATGTTGTTGTCATATTTTATTGCTGTTTAATAAATAAAGAAGTAAACTTGTTACACAGCCTATCTATCTATATATCATTCGATTGATCTATCATTCTTTCTTTCTATCTATAGTTCTATATATCGTTCTATATATCTGTCTGTCTGTCTATCTATCTATCGTTCGATCGTTCTTTCTATCTATCTATCTATCTATCTATCTATACATTTATATATACATTTATACATTTAGTCATTTAGCAGATGCTTTTATCCAAAGTGACTTACAAATGAGGACAATGGAAGCAATCAAAACCAACAAAAGAGCAATGATATACAAGTGCTATAACAAGTCTCAGTTAGCTTAACGCAGTACACGTAGCAAGGGTTTTTTAAATAATATAATAAATAAAAAGAAAACAGAATAGAAAAAGAATAGAGCAAGCTAGTGTTAGAGGTCTTTTTTGCTTTTGTTAATTGTATAATAAATGAAAAGAAAACCGATAGAATACAAAAAGATTAGAAAGCATGTGTGTTAGTTTTTTTTTTAAATCTATCTATCCATCTATCATTCTATCTTTCTATTTATCATTCTATTGTTATATCTATTTTTTTAGCTGAACTAATATGAAAATGAGCTAAATCAGCAATGTTTATGATATTGTTGTTGTCAGATTTTATTGCTGTTTAATAAATAAAGAAGTAAACTTGTTACACAGCCGAAATGGTAATCGAGTGAACCAACTCAAACTTTACTTTTACTTCAGACGTGGAAATGAAGATGAACTGCATCAGAATGTGATGCTTAAGACTGTTTTTGTTCTCAGGTATTGATGTTTGTTCTCTTTTCTGTGTGTGGCAGCCCCCATCGCAGCAGGGACGGGGCCCAACTTCTCGTTGGCAGACCTGGACAGCTCTTCCTACTACAGTATGAGTCCTGGGGCCATGAGGCGCCCCCTACCCAGCACTTCTTCTAGCAGGTATGCACTCGAAAGACACGCACGCACGCACACACTCCCTCTCTCTCCCTCCTTCACTCTGAGTCTTAATTAATCAGCCGAGGCAGAGATTGATGTGTTGGCTGAGCATTCGAAGAGGCTGCAGGAGTCTGAGCTACACAAGCTTCAAGCATATGTGTGTCCACCTGGAACCTTCTTCCTCCGCCACCCGCTCAGCCTACAGGCCAGTCACACACACACATACTGCTCCCCAATGTAAAACCGCACTACGTGGCACCCTGTGTGTGAGTGGACAGATGTTTGGATGTGTGTGTGTGCACAGCTGAAATGCAATGTATAAATGGTTACTGTGATTTCACTGATGGGGCAAATTTCGCTGTCACTTTTACATAACGCAGCATACCTAAAATCCACACACATACAAACGTACATAAACATTTGTGCTAATATTTAACACATATGAAAATACAACAGTCATGTGTATGTTAATTTTAGCCATTTCCATTGAATACATTTGTTGAATATGACAGCACGCACTTGTTATTTTTGGACATCATAGTCGCTTTTGATGCACAAAAATGTAGTTTAGAGCACGAGCTCGCTAACTTTGGAGCCCATGTGTGTGCGGTCAAATGCAACTGTATGTGTGTACATGTGTGCGTCTGCCCACATGCTTCAGTGGCCTCTTCAGCCAGGCCTGCCAAAGCAAACATCTGGAATAAGGACCCTGTGTGTGGCTGCATGCTAGAAACTAATTAAGCGATTATGAGTGAAAAACACCAGTAGGCCTTACATTAACAAATAAATGTCAGAGCTCAGCTCACAGCAGATAACTCACACACACATGACCGCCAGCCTCCAATGACTCCTCACGTCTTGAATGTGTTAGATTGTAGAATGTCTGTGTGTGTGTCTGAATAAGCTTGCACACTTCTTTGCTGTCCACCTTTTTGACCTGAATAATTATGTTGTACAAAATGTATGTCAATATGAAATCAAATTTGACTATTTAATTTGTTAAAATGTTTAATAATTCTAAAAATAAGTTTTTCATAATTTTTTACTGAAACATAACTTTCCTCTCCTCTGAAATAACTTTTCTTTGATAAAGATGAGTAAATAAGTAAATCGTTACGTATTCATTTATATCAAACGTATTGTATCTGCTATTTATGTCAAGTCAGATTAAATATTTTTAATTAAATATTTATTGATTGATTTTATTGATATAACTTTTGAGGGCTATATTAATAAATCTTAAACTCAATATTATATACTGTATATATATATATATATATTTCATGAATTATTTCAATAAATAAAAATCTCAAAATGTAAAATAAATGAATGAATACATGAAAAAAATCAAGCAATATGTCAACGATTTATTTATATTTTGTATTTTGTGTTTTATATTTTTATTTATAGATAGTATTTATTGACATGCTCATTTATTTTCATATATTTTATGATTTAATTCGTTAAAACATTTTAGCATATATATTTATCTTTTTAATAAAAGATGTGTTTTAGTATAGCACACTTTGTGTATTTAGTATTTTTATCTGTGGATTGTATTTATTGATATTAGTTCATATATTTTCATATATTTCATCTGCAAAGCGTATCAAATGCATGGAGGATGAGGTGGACAGCCCGGGAGAGGAGTCCTACTACCCAGGTCAGGGACGCTCGCCTGGTAGCGGCAGCCAAGCCAGCAGCTGGCATGAAGTAGAGCCAGGTAACTGTCCACCCTGAAAGCCAGCCTCCCCCGGCGCTCACACACACATTCACACTCTCACACACTGGGGTTGCGGGTGGAGACTGGAGAGCGAGCGATCGGATCTGCTGTATGTGTGTGTGTGTTTGTGCATCCTGTGGTGTGCGCTGGTTGTTTTGTTTTTCTTTTTGAAAGATTTCCGCCGTCTGCCCCCCTCATCTCAGAAGTTAACCATAGATGGCTTGTAGATACAGTCTCATTAACTTCATATCCACGTGTCTACTAATGATGCTAACAATGTACGAAGGGTCCCGTATGTGTGTGAGTTTGAATGCTGATTCATCCTGGACTGTGTGTGTGTGTCCTGTGAAGCTCGCCGCATTGCCACAGAGCAGAGGACTGTAAATCTGTCCTGCTCCAAAGCATCTTCAATCAAGTCTCGCACGTCCTTGATACTAGAAATTGACGCCGCATAGTGGACAGAGACAGAGAGGAAAGACACGTCACATATTACAGCCAGATCAGGACAGAGCTCAAGCAGGAAATCAGATCGTTATTAACAAAATCCTTCAAGGAACTGAATGATTCAGATTCCAATTCCACTGAAAGATTGAAATTTATTGATGATTCTTTTAATGATTCTTTTGATGGTATTTACCAGTTCTCATGATTCATTGAGTCAGAATAGGTTCATTACACTGATTCAAACTGAGGACTCACATGCAGGCCCAGGAGAATTTTACACTTTCCACATAGATTTCGAGGAAATATGTGAAATTCCAGATCTGTAAATGGATTTTAACTAGTGCTGTCAACTGATTAATCGCGATTAATCGCATCCAAAATAAACGTTTTTGTTTACATTTTATATGTATGTGTACTGTGTATATTTATTACGTAAAAGCTGGATATAAACTGCGTGGCTCGCTAGCTAGTTCGTTCATCTCAAGACAAGGTAAAACTACATCAATGTTGTCACCCTTCCACACCTCACCTTCCCTCCCCACCCAAAAAAAAGGAGCTCGTCCATTGTGCCGTCTAGTTTTGTCATCGTCGTTGTTGTTGTTTCGTACCTTATTTTTTGTTGTTTTGTTCAGACGATTTTCTTCCCCCACCAGCCTTTCCCCCTACAAACACCTTTATCCCAAAAAAGGAACAGAAAAGGCCTGCAGAATGTTTTCGCCCCCCTGAAACAACATGCACCCCCTGTCCCATGATATCCCTGTGATTTGTATGTGTGCATGACGTCATCCACATCCATCAACGGTGCATCTGGAAATGTTTGCTTTAAAGTGACGTGTCTGTGTTTTTGAGGATGCAGTGTTTGGAAAAATTGTCATAATTATATTAGGGATGTGCAAAAGTATGCGTTTTCTATTTGGACGAGAGTCATGTATAATTGTATATATTATATAATATTTTTTAAATACATTTTTTTTATTTAATGATTAATGTTTATATATATTTATTTTTGTATAAATATAAATGTATATTTAAATTTTAAATAATATTTTGTATTTTATACATATATTTAATTTGATTTATTTTATATTATTTTAATTATGTTCTATATTTATTTTTATATAAGTAAATAACTAACCTCTAAATTCATCCACTTTAAATCAGTTGCACTGTATATTAAAGTAAAAAAATTCTGGATTAACTCACTTAACGACTACTTGGTTATTGGACGATTAGTTGACAAGTCTACATTTCTGACACATCCCTAATATATTTAAAGGTGAAAAAAGGCAATACAAATGGAGAATACGGAGGGGTGCTATTGATTTAGAGCTGCGTCTCACTAATGAGTTCTTTTCTCAGTTGCGTCGGCACCAAGCAAGTGAGAGTCTGTTCCAGTGTATGTTTGCTTGAGAGGGAATGTGTGAGTAAATGAAGAGGGTGAGAGAGAAAGTGAGTGCGATTTGACCTCCCGATCACTTGCTCACCCATGACAGGATCACATTTCTCGTCCAATCAGCGACTTTCGTCCATTTTTCAGCCATGTTGTTGAACGACTGTGACATCTCGAACTCTTGTTATGCCTGCCATCTGTTTGATTTGTGTCGCTTTCCATGAATCTCCCCCCGAGTGTGTTGGATGTGTGTTTGTGTTTATATATGTGTACGTGTGGGCCTCTCCTATCTTTATTTGATAGCGGAGACCTTCGCAATGTGTTTAAAATTAGCCAGCCTTTCTAAAGTATGTCCGCGGCAGCAGCGTGCTTGTCATTGCTCAGGTAGCGGGTGTCGGGTGGTAGGCCGGTGTAGGGGCTATGGGGTGACAGGTCTACCTGTCATTCTGCTCGCTGCACGTAGCCGAGTGTCCCACAGTCATACTCCTATGACCTCTCGCCACCTACTCGGAAAATGAAAATTTACAAGCAATTCTAAGATTTATATTTGTATTCGTTTTTTAAAATCTAAAATCACTTTAATAAATACTGTAATAATAAACTATAATAAACTGTAATATATAACATCAAACAGTTAATTAGAAGTTATACTTTTTTGGTAGTTCACTGTGTGATTAAAATAGTCAAAATATGTACATTTAAATAAAATAAATTTTAAATATTAAAATTAAAAATTAAATTTAAAAAACTATATATATGTAGTAATAAATTATATGTATAATTACATGGAATATATATAATTATGTTTTATTTTCTATATTATAATGTAACATAATTCATAATATTAATATTATGAATAAATATTTGTCTATGTGTGATAAAAATGAGTGAAATATATACATTTTTAATAATATATGTTATATACACAATTTAAAAGTAATTCAGAACTATATATAAAAACATATATATATAGTAAGGTAGAACATTGAAATTAAAGGTGGGGTAAGCGATTTTTCAAAAACTCATAATAGAACAATCAAGACAGCAGTAATTATATCTATATTTTGAATAATTAATAATCCACCTGTAAATTTTAGTGAGTGTGTGTTGAGACTAGTTTGGGTAGATTCACTGCCGACTGCAGCCGGGCCAGAGCTGACTGATGTGCCGGAGGGGACGGCGAGCGCTACAGGACGAGAGCGATGGAGAGCAGCAGAGAGACGCACTCAATACAGAATTGCCTCCTCGCCCGTCTGGGTTCCGTCAATTTGTCAGCCATGAGGAAGGAGGAAGGGAAGGAAAAGGAGAATCGGGCCAGGACCACCTGTAAATTTTAGTGAGTGTGTGTTGAGACTAGTTTGGGTAGATTCACTGCCGACTGCAGCCGGGCCAGAGCTGACTGATGTGCCGGAGGGGACGGCGAGCGCTACAGGACGAGAGCGATGGAGAGCAGCAGAGAGACGCACTCAATACAGAATTGCCTCCTCGCCCGTCTGGGTTCCGTCAATTTGTCAGCCATGAGGAAGGAGGAAGGGAAGGAAAAGGAGAATCGGGCCAGGACCGGTGCCCAGCGTGTAATAATGCCTCGGAAGGGAAAGTGCTGACTATGGCCAGGCTTTTATTCCAACTGACAGAACCTTTTCAAGTGTTCATTACTCAATCCGAGACATCAGACCCTGTCGACAGCAAACACAGACACTTGCACACACACAATCAAAGCAAACGGTCTGCCAACCCACAGGTTTCATTCTGTTTTCTCTTTGGACTTCACCACTCTACAGGCACCGAAATGTCCCCCCTCAGAACCACATCCAGAACTCAATCGAAAAACTCAGCTTCCTATATAGTGTCTAGCTGGTCCAAACGTGGTCATTAGCTGTTTCAGCTGTAAAACAAATGCTACCAAAATAGAATTCTTGCAACATGCTACCTGATAATGAAGCTGAATTTAGCGTTAAACTTCCTGAGCGTTCATCAAACCACATTAATTAAACGCCCTTTTTCCAAAACTCCACCCTACTGAAGAGTATAATATAATTGAGTTTATAGCAAGTGACAATTTAATGACAGATGAAGCAGGAGGGCAACAACACACCAGGAAAATTAATGCTAACAAAGTAGCATTTTCGTATGACGTTAGCTAACTGCTAATGAAACTGAATTTGGTACTAAACTTCAGTGATTCGCTTCAACTGCCCTGTGAACGCACAAAGTGATTGACAGGGAATCACAGCCACTTCAGATAAGCTAAAATATTGATAAGTCAGTGAGTAAGATATCCAAAGTGAAGATGTACTTAAGAAATAGCATTAGCAATAGCTAATATTGCAATAGCTAATGTTCTTTTGATCCTCTCCAGCGGCTTGTGACAATGGGAGTGTGTATGTGTGTGACTTAACCCCTTGTTTGTCTTCCCATCCTATTATCCTTCGCTCCCTTCCATTTTCCACCACTTTCTGTCTGTTTATTCTGTCATCGTCTCTCTCTCGTCTATGTCATGGTCTCGGGTGAGTAGTGTTTGGGTTACTCTGGGCTCCATGTCCATCTGATGAGTCTGTCCCAATGACACCGTATGTTTCCACTCCGCTCTGCCTTCCACCGCTGTCAGCGTACTCATTGAAATTGATCTTCTGACGCATTCTGCGCTGAACTTGTGAGTGTGAGGAGAAAATGAGAACAGCTGAATGGGGAATTATGCACTCGGTGTTTGTATGTGTCTGATGAATGAAGACTGGAAATCATTGGTAATTTGTGCTAAATGTGCTTGATGGCTTCTTCCTTAAAATCTTTTACCATATTCGTATTGAAGTAGCAACCATCTCTTCCTGGTTTCGTTGACCTTTCCACGACCTAAAGTGACCCTTTTAAATTACAAAGCCAATCTCTAATGGTCATTGGTGCTGGGAAGAGATGCTGTCTTTCTTTCCATCTTCTTTTCTCTCTCTTTTTTGCGCCTGAAAGGGGAAGGAGTCTGCGAGGGCTGGAGAAACCAAGGATGACTTCTAATCACTCACACGCACACAAAAATGCACCAAAACACACGCACCTGCACATTTTACCTCCCCATATCTAAAAACAAGTTAGATATAAAGCAGCTAACTGCAATATAGTGGAACTATAGTGGATCTGCAATATAGTGTTGATAGTGGAACACTTTGAGCTGTGTGTGGTGGTTATTATTATTTTTATTATTATTAAATTTAATATTATTAATATTTTTTGTTAGTATTATTAATGGAAAAGGCACTCAAACATTATTATTAATATTAACTTAATGTTGTTTTATTTAGGATATTCTATGCTGCAATATTTTAATTTTTTATTTAATAATAATAATAATAACAATGCAGAACAGAATATATTAAATAATATTATTATTATTATTATTAAAAATAGGTGGGGGTGTGAGTGGACTGCTCTCGGGGAGAAATAAGACATAAGACCAGCGCTTATATCCTGTCCCAGTGCAGAAGAATGGACTAAATGCTTTGACGGGGTGACAGATGGGCCAGCGGTGCCTCCTAATTGCCCCTTCTATTTGCAGTTCATTCTTATCCATTTGCATTTCTAACCTCAAGTGGCTAATCGGCCATAGGTTTCCCTCACGTCTGTCTATTTTTACCTGGGAGCGAGAGGTAGAGTGAAGCGAGGCAGTATGGGAGCGCTAATGCCGGAGGGAGGAGTTGAACTAACGTGGCTGAGCATGCAGTAACAGACTTCAGTCATTCTCAGTTAGCTCATGTTAGCCTGTGCATCTGAACTGTTGCTCGCATTAACCCCTGCCAAAGCACAGCCGTCTGGCAGGCTGTGAATGTGAATGCTGTGTGCTTTGCATCCCTAACTCCTCTTCCCTCCATGTCTGTCCAGCTTTCTCTTTCTTTTTCTCTACCACATCCTGTTACGCTCATTGCTACGTCATTTCATCCTGCTAGCCCACGGGTAAGGTGCATAAGATACTTTAAAAACGGCCTTATGGTTTTGTGTTCACATTTTTAGGTGCCATTTTTACCATTAACAACTAACCTTACACTCATTGCCATTAATTTGAACCAACTGTTTAGAAATTAGGAAATTGGAAAACCTATTAGACTTTTAAAGAAATAATACAAAGCTACACTCAACTACACAGCCCCTAAGGGGACATGGTGATGAAAAAAAAATGATATGATAAGAAAAATTATATTTAAGTGATTTTGCATTCTCACAAAAGTATTGCATTCCTGTGAGAAACGTTGCATTCACTCCCAAATGTATTGCGTTCCCCCAAGAAGCTTTGTGCTCACTCACAATATTTTTGCATTCTCTCGCAAAAGTATTGTTTCCTCAAAAACTTTGTGTTCGCTCGCAAAAACCTTGATATATACAGTCCTTCCACTTTGTATTATTTCCAGCACTAACATTTTGTGAACGAATGCAAAGTTTCTTGGGAAAACAGCAAAATTTTGCGAGCAAACACAAAGTTTCTCTAGGAAACGCAAAAGTTTTGCGAGTGCACTCAAATTTTCTTGGGGAAACGGCAAAGTTTTGCAAACAAATGCAAAGTTTCTCTAGGAAACGCAAAAGTTTTGCGAGTGCACTCAAAGTTTCTTGGGGAAACAGCAAAGTTTTGCGCAAAAGTTTTTCAGAGAAATGGCAAAGTTCTGCGAACAGACGCAAACTTTCTCGAGGAACGGAACACAAATGTTTTGCGAGTCACTACAGAGTTTCTTGGGGGAATGCAAAGGTTTTGCGAGAACACTGATTTTTTTTCCCCATTACCATGCCTCTTTAGGGGTTCTGTACTCAACTGACAGCATTTGTGGCATAATGTTGATTACCACAAGAAGACTCGTCCCTTGTTTTCTTTAAAGAAAAAAAGCACCCACATTAATTCTTCTGTTAAAACTATTACATTATTTTAGTTCTAAAGCTCTTTAAATCATTTTTACCTACATTTTATGGGTTAACACGTTGTCAACTTTTTTTTTTTCACACTAAAATTATGAAACACATTGTTTACATCTCATTACATTGAGTATCTTAACAATTACAATTTGGTTCCATTTACTTCTAATCTAAGTGCCTCACTGTAGAACTGATTTTTGAAAACTAGGGACAACTGGAAATTATTTTTAGTGGTAATCAACACTATGCTGTCAAGTGAGTTTGTACTGAAGCCATAATATTCCTTTGAGCTTGCCCTCGAAAGTCTGATTGGACTCATAATGCACAACATGAGTGTTTTTACATGCACAAATTTATACAGAATATGAATAATGCTTACTTTTATTTTGAGAAAGGTCATGCCTAGTGTGCATGTCTGTTGACATTTTAACCTCAAGACATCAATACACTAATCACTTGATCTTGTGTTGCTCTGGGAGAGTCACCGTTCGGCCCTATGTAGTGTATCCTGTGCCACCCGCTGGGCCTCACAGTCTCTCCTCTGCTGTCTTGAACCCCATCCACTCACCCACCCAAACAAACCAACCCACCCTCCTATCCACTCTCTCTCCTTTGCGCCAGTCTGTATCTCCATGACCTTGCGTTATTAAATTGCACTTATCAATCATTCTTGCCAGGGATGCCATCGCCTACCACATTAAAGAAGTCAGAGAAGTCTGGTTTCAGCAGCCTTGTGCCTTCGCAGACCACTTCCCCTCGAACGGCATTCACACACCATCATCGACCTGTCATTACAGGACCCAGAGGTGAGGTCCCAACACCCCACCCTTCTCAAACTGCACCACTCTTCTTCCCCAAGCCCCTAATCCCAGCCAGCAGTTCTCCCACAATCCTTCAAATCCCTGTTTCCTTTACACTCCACACTGTCCCTTGTAACACTAGACCAGACAAGCAGGAACCTGAAGTCTGAACGGACTCTGTATGAAGGGGCGTTCACACTGACAGCGATTTGTAGTGTCAAAGCATCAGGACATGATGCGACCAATTTGAGTAGAGTTCAACTTTATGCAAATGAACAGGAACACAACCTTGATATGGACTGGCATTTTTTTTTCAGTCCACAAGCTCTTTATTCGATTTGATTCTGATTAGATTCTGATTCAATTCCAATTCAGTTCTGATTTGATTTGGATTAAATTATGATTCATTCATTGCTAATGCTGTAAATTATGCAACGATCCTTGGTACATTACAAAATGATTCATTTTAAAAATTAGCAACAAAGCCCAAAATCAGTAGTTCAGTTATTATTTTATTTATTGATTTTTAAGTAAACTTTTTTTAAATTGTATTTCTTGTCTAAAACTGTAGAAAATAACTTTATTAATGTGTAATTATAAAAAAAATTATATGACGTTCACATACTTATGTATTTATATATGTATTATTATATATTTATATATACAGTATAATTATACTTGTTACAATAAGCAATGTAACTTAAAGTGTAAAGTTCTTTTGATTTATTATTTATTTGTATGTTTGTTTATTACTTCAATTATTTTATATAATATTCCATCAAGGAAAGTAATGATAACTTTTATAATTTAATATATTAAATAATGTTAATTCAGTAAGTGATGTTTGCATGTTTTGATTCACTTAAAATAACTATTATAATGATTATTTGTTCGTGATTTGAACTACACTGGTTGTGCTGTATGTTTTTGATTGACTACAAAGAGCTAGTTTAAAATAATCTTAATGGTTTTGTGTGTGTGTGTGTGTGTGTGTGTGTGTGTGTGTGTGTGTGTGTGTGTGTGTGTGGT